GCCCGGTGCCCACGTACAGCCTAGATGGTGAATTAGATTACTCTATTGAATCTAAGAATGCACCCAAGTTTCTGATATGTATATTTTAATCTCAAATAAATAATATTTTTTTGTGATTAACCTTAAAATATACTTTTCATAATTATCTTCATGATTAGAATACTCATTTAGTGAACAAGAAGCGCAAAAGCGTAAAGTGTTTTGGTGAACCAGAAGCGTAAAATCGCAAGTTTTTAAGCTTTAAAGCACATTTTAGTCCCGATTTTATACCCTAAAGATTTTATATGGAAACAAAAGCGTTTTGGGGACCTAGAAGCATAAAACCGTAAGTTTTTAAATTTTAAAACGTGATTTTGACTGCATAGGCGTGAACATCAATTCCCATTAAAAAACAATTTCTGTTTTTACCATCGGTAAGTGTCTTAACTTTCTTATCATTCTTTATTGTACGAAGAAAGTGACAACATTTTCATAATATGATTGTTGTGATAGATTTAGCATCATTTTCTTATATGTACGTTCTAGATTGTAGGTTCTAAGTTTGTCTAGGTTCTTCATATCTTGTTCTATAATCCACGATTAATATTGAGACTTGTATGAATTTAAACACAAGATCTTTTAATTATTACAGACTTTAATACCAATGATTTGAATTGTTGTAATAGGTTCCAGAATTGATATCATACCGTTCCCCCACACACAATGACACGCCTAATGAAGTAAAATTACGTAAGAGATAGTGACTAGTACCTAGTGTTGGATACATATATACGAGTCCAAATATAATTGCACATAAGCTGAGTAAATAAATAGATGATTGAAATAAAACAGGGTTGAAAATGGGGTGGGAAGATGCAGGCTCCCAGATAATATATATATATATATATAAATGCAAATAGTGGCGGATCCAAGAATTTTTTATAGGGGTGTCCTCGTTAAAAAAATAAATTAAATAAAAAATTAAATAATTAAATTAAATAATTTAATAAAATATCTGACTAGTACAAATTTTAGTGAAAGGTCACGACGTGTTTTTCATATTATGAAAAAAGAATATAAAATCAACCGATGTCATACTGCTCAACAAATATGTATATCCTACTAGACAATAATTCACGAACGGATTGTATATTCGATTTCTAAGCTTATTCTTGATGTAACTCAAAGTTAAAAAGAGTCTTTCAACACTTGCCGTGCAACCATAAAATCAATTCAAATTAAGAGTAGCCTGTAATTAGTTTAATTGTTAGATTTTGAAAATAGTTGGGGATAAGGAATAACATTTTTACTATTACATAGTGTTCAAAATTGAACAACAAATGAGTTGCAAGCTAATGGAGAATATTTTTAATGATAGTAATTTCCCAGACTCCCAGGTATGAATAACACTGATTATCACTTATATTTAAATCATACGTAAACTACTATTAAGAGTAGGATAATCATTTTTTCAAATTTTAGCAGTGTCCTGAATTATCAATTGTATTATTTTTATTCATATGAAACTATTACCGGGAGTTGAATAATCGTTTTATCAAGTTTTAAGAGGTGTCCCGGAAGCCGCATGTATCCTCCCCTGAATGCAAATCGGGTTAAATTCAATACCGATTGAATCCGACATCTACACAATAAATAAAAGCCAAATGAGAAAACATGAAGTCTCATTTCAAATTTCCTGCATCCAGAGTGAAAGTAGGAAGGACATTTTGGTCTTCACAATTACTTTTTTTATTCATTAAAAAGACACTTACTAGGATTCGAACAATGACCACTTTAAAGAAAAGTAAAGATCATAACCAATCACACTAAGTACATTTGTTGTTTCTTATTAAATTAAAAACATATAATTGCAGAGAGGAAAAAACCTTTCCCTCATTTCAAATTCCCTGCTCCAGGAGCGTTTGTAGGAAGAGTAGAATAGGGAGTGTCAATTTTTTCCTTTTTCCTCTATGGAACGGGCTAACTTACCGTACACATGCGGATTTAAACGGGTCCAGGAGTGTCAATTTTTTTCTTTAAGTCCTTTAATTTCTCCGTGGTGGTAAAATATATATGAAAAGGCAAAAACAATACTCCTCTTTATTGCTAAAAGAAAAAATTTAACAATAAACTAATGCATGGATTATAATGGGCTAACCGCTAATCGTAAAATAAAAGAGTTGAATGGGCCTGACCTACACGGGATTTGCCCATCAATTAAAACAAATGAACATCATGGGTTTGTCATTCTAAAACAAGCTATTTTCTCTAGCATAATATATATTATGCTATTATTTTATATCTCAGTGGCTAAAATATAATGTATTTTAAAGTTATTCAATGGTTCAACCTCGACCAACCCAATTAGTCCAATTTTTATCATTTCAAATATATATTATGTAATTATTTGATATCATAATGATTAAATTATAGTGTATATTATAGGGAATCGTTTGGTATTGTTAGTAAAAAACTAAACAGAAGATCTATTTGATTATTTTGAACATTAAAACGATCCTAAACATTTTCAGTTTCCTTTCGAAATTCTATAGTTTTATTCCCAAATCAGTGATGTGCAAATGGCGAATTGCAGTAATCTCTTTTCTTTCATTATTTTTTATTTTCAAATAGAAAGTTTAAAAGTAAAGAATAATTAGAGATTGGCATGGGTCGGTCAAACATGCTGAATTTCAAGTTTTGGCCCGTTTTGATCAAGTCTAATTTATAATCACATGGTTCCCCGATACCCGATAAAAATCTCATTCCAAACCAGTTTGGCAGGTGAGTCCGTGTTTACCACCATTTTCTAGGGATACAGGAACGGTGGTTCCTATCCCAAATTTTGTTGTTCATTCTTGATTTCTTTAGATTTATCATGGCTTGGCAAAAAACCAGAAACCACAATGATGACAAGATGAAAGTTTTATAAAGCAAATTAATCGGCCAACGGACAGTGTAAAAGCTAGCAACGATTGTGAGATGCTCATTTCCCGAAAACCTGCGGGATAGACGATTTTTTATTCGATTTTTTGGAATTCGGTTTCTATAAAACTTACTCCACCTCATCATATTACCAGAAATAATATTGTTTCACAAGGTAACAGATACTTGATTTTGGTTCATAAGGCTGATTTTTGATTCGTTGCATCATTCATGTCTCTTTCCTACTAAAATTCACTATTTTTATCACAAGTTTGCAAAAAAAAAAAAAAAAAACTATACAACAATAAGCTATACACCCCATTATATTATCAAATTTCATACCTCACCTTCCTTCGGCCAAATGGTCGGGGCCCACGCTAGCCTCTTATTATTTCTAAAAAGATTGAATGACGAATCTTACAAATTCTTTGCAAACTGCGTTTAAACAAACAAAAACCAGCTTTTAATGTGAAGTTTGCACAAATCCAATATTTTTCACATGCATTTGCAACAATGCACGCAAAGATCTAAACATTGAGCCGAAATTTAATTTGGAAGGCAGGTTGGCTTACTGAAAAGCTGCAAGTAGGATGGCTATATGGTCCGATTGCGTTAAATTCGCCCGAATTGGTTCGGTTTTGGTCCGATCTTTTCGAGAATTTAAGGATTAAAGATTAGTTTGGATATAATTTGGTCTTGATCTGGTCCGGTCTTGAACCGGTCCGATCCTAATTTGGTCTTGATTTTAGATTGAGCAAGTGGGGATTTGAGTGACCTAAGGGGGGATTTGAGTGGCCTGAGGCCTGAAAGGGTGAGAAGGTTAAATTATGGGTGTTGGACTCTCTTGTCCGGTCTTTATTCGATTTTCGGTATGATCCCGAACGATTTTTTTTACCTCAAATCTTGGCCTGAATATGGAATTTGATTGTTGGCTATCCAGTCCCGATCCAAATTATAGGGTCCGATTTTGAGTAAAACCAAAAAGCCGAACCAAATAGCCATCCCTAGCTACAAATACTTATATACTATTTTAACTGTTAAATAAATAAATCAAATGGCAGGAACAGGAAGGGATGGGACTAGGCATTGAGCAACTGCCAAGTGTGGGTGGTGTATTACATACGTGGCAGAGACCCATCTCCCGTACAAAATCATGACCGCCATACACCGCCCTCCACGTGGACTAACTGTTCGCTGGCAAGTACGTCTCTCAGGAAAACGGAATTTGGTTGGGATTAAAAGAATCTTAAAAACAGGAAAAGAGAGAAGAAGAACAAACGACGGCTACATGGCAATTGCTTAACCCACCTTTGCCCCTGGGTCCCGCATGCACCGTGGGTGGGGACGGCGGATATTTTGGGGGTCAATACAAAAATAGCCACCCAACTTTAAGTCGATGACAAATTGATCACTTAATTTTTTATAACAAAAATTACCATTACATTTTAGTTTAACTAACATGGTGGTAGTCCCTCCCTATCTCATTTTTGGCATCCTTTCTTCCACACTAGTATTAATCCTCTTGCATATAACTATTTGTTACGAGCGGGATCTGGATGACTGGACCTACACCCTTTTGGAATAGAATTATAGTCCAACTCAGCCATCTCGACGTCTTGATCTACAACAACTTCTCGAGGGGGGGGGGGGAATCAAACACATACTTACTCTAGCGATTTCTTTTAATCCAATTGATCAAAATGAGTCCGAGATGATTTGCATACGATTCATATGAAAGCCTTAAACGGGTCGGAACCATAATTGTCAAGTTAGTTGTCTCTGAAGAATGATGGATGCGGTTGTTAATAAAAATAGAATAACAGTGACGAAATTGGCTATCGCCGTAAAATTGAGTAGCGTGTTGTAGCAATTGGTCCCCGAATTTTCTTGTGCCCCGGGGTGAAAAGGCCAAATAATACCGACTGATCGGAAGGTCCAGTAGGGCCCACGGTTTCGCCGAGTAGACCGGGGGATGTGGGTCCCGCAACCAAGGGTCGGCTGGGCTTCGGCCAATCGGCCCGACCCACACAGTTCGTTTTTCGTCCGTTAGCGGATGGGGTTTGCAGCTATAAAACCACACCCACCCTTCGCCTTCTTCCTTACCCAACAATTCTCTCCCACCTCTCTCTCTCTCGCTCTCTCGCTCTCTAGCTCCTTCCTTAATCCCACTCTCGCTTTCTGCTTCTACACTGATCGGCGTTCTTCATTCTCCCTCTTCTCTAGCTCGATTTGAGAGTTAATCGGGAGAAAAATCTGTCCAAAAACAGAGAAAGAAGAAACAGAGAGCACTCTGCTTTTTTTCGCCTAGTTAGCTCACCCCATTCCATTTTCCAACACCTTCAAAGAAGGTTCTAACTCGGTTTTCTTATAAGGTGAATTGGTTAGCTCTAAACCCAGTTAATGGGTGTCTTCCTTTCGGTGGAAATCTAAGTTGAAATGGGCTTCCTCTGTTTTTGGTTGTTCTTACAATTTGGGGATTTTTTTTTTTAATTTTCCTTACAGAGATGACGAACCAAAATGTTGTAGTGCCGGACACGAAATCAGGGATCAACTTGCCAATGGTCCGTCTTTCGGGCTCGTCGATCTTCCCGGCAACGGCCCAGAAGCCGCCGACGGCTCCTGGAACCGGCGGCGGGGGCTGCATCTCTCTGTCGACCAAGAAGAAGCTCCTCCTCGAGAATCTGGAAATCAATGGCGGCGGCGGAGGAGGAGCCAGGATTAACTCCTGGATTGACTCCATGAGAGCTTCCTCGCCGACCCACATGAAGTCGAGTTCGCAATCTCTATCGGAAGATCAGCAGCTCCCATGGCAGCAGCAGCAGCAGCAGATTACTCTGCCGTCGGCCATGGATAACTTCGACCAGATAATGGAAGCTTCTCGAGGGAAGCAAATTGTCATGTTCCTCGACTACGATGGCACCCTTTCCCCCATTGTCGACGACCCAGATCGTGCTTTCATGTCCAAAAAGGTCCGCCATTTCGACTCCCCGGAAATCCAAAATTGAAATGATTACAAACTTTCCTCTGTTTTCATGACTCAGAAATTTTCCTCTGTTTTCTTTCTTTCTTCAGATGAGGACGACTGTTAGAAGGCTGGCTAGGTGTTTCCCCACAGCCATAGTGAGCGGAAGATGCAGGGACAAGGTACATTAATGCCGTGCAAACAAAAAACAACAAAAAACTGAATCGATTCCTTCCCCTGAAATCACCTTTTTCTCTACTCACTCTCTCTTCCCCTGTTTTTTTTTTTTTTTGCAATTTTGGCGCAGGTGTACAAATTTGTAAGGCTAGCAGAACTCTACTACGCTGGTAGCCACGGGATGGACATTAAGGGTCCGGAGAAAGGCTCCAAGTACACTAAAGTAAGCGACTGAACTGGAAAGTAGCAAGCTTTCAAACCGCAAGAACTACAAAGTAACTAACTACTCTGTTCTTCTTCTTTCTGATAAATCAGGGGACCGAGCCGGTGATATGCCAGCCGGCGAGCGAGTTTCTGCCGATGATCGACGAGGTGTTCAAGGAGTTGGTGGCGAAAACGAAACTGACTCCCGGAGCCAAAGTCGAGAACAACAAGTTCTGCGTTTCGGTTCACTTCCGGTGCGTGGAGGAGAAGAAATGGAGTGAAGTGGCGGAAGCCGTTAAGTCCGTTTTGAAGAAGTATCCCAAACTCCGCCTTTCACAAGGAAGAAAGGTAATTAATATAACTACTAGTATTTTTTTAATTATTGTATTTAATTGGTTAATTACGAGTTTAAGAGAGTAATTAATTAATTACTTTGTTTACTTACACTACAGGTACTGGAAATCCGACCCACAATTAAGTGGGACAAAGGCAAGGCTCTGGAATTTTTGTTAGAGTCTCTTGGTGAGTATTCTAATCACAATTAATTAAAATCTTAATTATTATTAATTTTTTTTAATGGTGGGTTTGTTAAGTTTCTTAATCGTGGCTTTAAGAAAAGCATCAACTGTCCCAAAAAGCGAACCCACCTTATTCCCACTTGAGATTTGAACTTTAGTCAAATTACCAAATCACTGAAACTAACTTTAACTAATCACATGTAATTATGAGGACGAATAATTAATTAATATAATAATTTTTTGGTTATTTAATATTGTACGTGTTGGTGTTGTTTTCCTTATCGCAGGATTCGCAAATTGTACCGATGTTTTCCCTGTTTATATTGGAGATGATCGAACTGATGAAGATGCATTCAAGGTATCCTATGTTTTCCCCTATTGTTTTCTTTACAATTTCCGTTTTTCTTCTAAATTTTTACATGGGCAGCCTTTATTAAATTTTTTTTATCTATGGGCAGGTATTGAAAGAGAGGGAGCAAGGATTTGGGATTCTTGTGTCCAAAGTTCCAAAGGAAACTAATGCTTCTTATTCCCTCCAGGAACCTACCCAGGCAAGTCTCCAAAATATATTCCATAATTATTAAATTTTTCCTCTCTTTTTTCGTGGGTGATAATAATTATTATTGTGTAATTAGTTAGATGATCACTTTGGCTAATGGTGGGAGATTGTGTCGATTCCTTGCAGGTTATGGACTTCTTGCAACGATTGGTGGACTGGAAAAAGCTGGCTTTCCAGGAGTCCAGGATGTAGATTCATTGATCAGTACTACTGCGGGATTGGATTGATGGAGTTCTTAATTGTATTAATTAGCATCTATTCTTAGTTAATTAAGTTGTATAATTATGAAATCAAGGAAAAAGAAGGGGGAAAAATTGTACATCCCGGGTACCCTGGACCCTTTTGAGGGGGTAAAAGAATGTAAGGAGGGTGGGAGAATATTAGTTTTTTTTTTTTTTGTATTTCTAATTTCTCCCTTAAGTTCCTTTTTGTTAGAGGGGAAGTTGGATTAAATCCATGTAATTAAGGGAGAAATTAACAGGGGAGGAGGGTTTAACCATTTTGAGTTTTACTCTTTGCCTTTTGGTTTAGTAAATGGCCTTTTCTTTGTACATCTTTTGTAACCAGCCATCGATCTGTTTGTGGTTATATATGAAGGAAGGAAAGCAAGACTTTTGAGTTCAATTTTTGTCCATCTTTTATTTGTTCCTCCCGTATTGCACTTGGGTTACTCAAAGAACGGGGAAAATACTAAGCAATTTTAGTTGTTTGCATGGCATGCAAGATTCTCAGAGTTTTAGCTTCCCAAGTTTTGTGGAGATCAATATATGAGGTTGAAGAGTGAAGAAGAAATGTCAAACTACTAGTCATTAGAGGTCGGGCTCAGCTCTTCTAATGATGGGTTTTGATAGAAAAGATTCATATAATGTTCATCTATGAGTTGAAGTGAAAAGAACAAGTACATGATTAGTCACGAGATCTTGTATTCAGACTTTGATGATTACTCTTCTACGAACTTACTTACTTCTAATAATCACATGCGTGTACACTACAATAAAAATCTAATTCATATGCGAATTCTATATAATTCCATTAAAAAAACTCTCTAGAAAATGTCGTTTTTCATTTGGTGTTTATTCCACATGGCCCCCAAAATAAAGTAATCAAAACCATCCATTAACGGCGTTTTCGTCAAATAGGGTCAGAGGTTTTCAACGTACCCTATTCCTTCTTCTCATTGATCAAATATGACTTGCTGGCAAAACAGACGTTGTGGTGAAAACAGTCGTTTTAGACAGTTAGGAAAGGGGAAATCCTATTTGGCTAGTATCTATCCAAGTTCCAACCCATGAGCGACACGTGACTCCTGGATAAATAGTAGCTATGGTCAGTGGCGGACCCAGAAATTTTACATAGGGGTGTCCTCTTTTAAAAATAAATTAAATATAAATAATTCTAAAATAATTAAAAAAATAATAGTTAAATAAGAAATACCTTACTCATACAATCATACAGCTTGAAAAAATTCACGATGTGTTTTCATATTAAAAAATGATTGTAGAAAACACTTGGGGCCGGTCTACACTAGGGATGGCAATGGGGCGGGTTTGCCTAAACCATCCCCATCCCCATTTCCATATACCCATACCCATCCCCGCCCCATACCCATGCGGGTTGAGGATTTGCATACCCATCCCCATACCCGCGGGTTTCGGGTACCCATGGGTAATACCCATCCCCATGTATGCATTACTTCTACACGGCTGCAGGTGATATTGCATCAGATTGTGAAGAGTTGCTAGCCATCTAGAGATAAAAAGCCGACTTTCTGAAAGAATTAAAATTCAAATCAGTTATATATACAATAAACACACAAATCAGACGTATAAGGTATCCCGTTGCTGATGCATTCTCCCATGAAAAGCAGTGGTATTAGCTCTTTTACCTTCTTCTTTGGGGATATTAGGCTGATCGACCAAGAGCTGGTGAAGGGCAATTAGATCAGTTGAGCTGCAAATAAACGCCAAGTCCGATCTATGTCATGAAAACCACTTTGTGGCCGCCGATTTTTTGCCGTAGCTGGGTGGGGACGAGAATGACTGCGGCGACGGGATTGGGCGGAAGGAGACCTCCGTGGAGCTGACGGCAAGGCGGCGACGGGATCTGGGTGACGGCTGACGAACCGCGCGGAGAACTGGGCGGCGACGGGTGACGAACTGGGCAGCGACGGGATCTGCTGGGCGTGGAGCTGGGCGGCGCGCCGGCGACGGGATCGAGTGGTGAGGCTGAGGGAGTCGACCGGAGAAGAAAGATCTCGAGACGACGGGAGGCTGCGGGAGGCTGCTGGCCGGCTGCGGGAGTCGACGGACGGGACGACGAGCCTTGCGATCTCCTCCGCCACCGACGACGACAACTTCGCCGGAGAAGGCCTGTGGGAGGATGAGCGTCTGCGCCTCTGCGGGGCTGCGGGCTGTTTGTGCGGCGGCTGTCAAAAAATGAGAATGGAGAAGGGCTAATGTTTCATTTAGGGTTTTGATAAGTAAAATTATGTTTTAGCCATCTATATTTATTTTATTTACCCTTTATGTCATTAACAATTTACAAACAGGTACTTGTATTTTTAGCATATAACAAACAAGTTTGACGGGTTGGGTATGGGTATGGGTATGGGGCGGGGGCACCTAAAACCAAACCCGCCCCATACCCATCAGATTCTTCGCGGGTTTTACCCATACCCGCCCCATACCCAGTCAAAGCAGGGATTCCCCGCGTTGACTGGGTATGGGGCGGGCGGGTACCCGCGGTGGTGGGTATGATTGCCATCCCTAGTCTACACTGTTCAAAAAAAATTGTCTCTGTATATCATATTAGACAATCATTCACGAACTGATCACATATTCGATTTCTAAACTTGTTCTTGATGTAATCCAAAGCTGAAAAGACTGTTTCAACACTTGTCGTGCAACCATAAATCAATACAAATTAAAGGTAGCTTAAAATTTGTTTAATTGTTAGATTTTGAAAATAATTAAAGATAGAAAATGACATTATACTATTACACAGTGTTTAAAATCGAATAACATATGTGTTGTAGCCTAATGGAAATTATGTTTATTAAAATAAAAGTGTCATAGGTTTGAATTACCCAAACATTCACTTATATTCTCATACTCAAACTAAAAGATGAGAGTAGGATAATCACTTTTTTAAATTTAGGGGTGTCCCCCAAACACCCGTGGGTCCGCCCCTGGCTATGGTCAAGACGACTCGTTTCGATAAGTGCTCTTCTTCCTTGCTCGTAGTCTGGGGTTCGAAACTACCTGTTGATAAAACAAAATAAAATCCAACTCAAGTTTTTTCTGATAAAAATGTTCTACATATCCCAACGATACCGCATCGTAATAGTGTAAAACCTTAAACCTCAATTTTATGGACTTCTTGGTACATTAACATAGTTTCTATTTATCTGTAAGTTCCTATCTATTGGAAAAACAATTGATGTGGGGTGATTAACATATTATTACCCAATACATTCATCAGAATCCTCACAGAACTTTGCTGGATTCTAGCTAGAACACGGGATTGTCACTTTGTTTATGTTGAAAGCACGAATGGCCACCAATCATCCCATATTCCAAACTGCACACATAGCATATCATAATATTGGCCTGTTATTAGGTTCTTTTCTTTTTTTCCTTGAAGAAATTAAAAGATTTAGGTGCCACTTGCTCAACTACTACTATTCTATGTACGAGAGATGCTACCTGTACTGAATAAAATCAAAATTCTCCCCAATGAAGAGGCCACATTCATATCTTTTCTAGTCATGGGAACCTTATATCATTCATAGGTTCTCTTAGCTACATAGCTTCATAACCAATTATATACACATTGCATCAATATGTTCCCATAAAAGGACCCCTCCACCCTCAGAGTGAGACCATATCTGTAGAGAGAGAGAGAGGGAGAGAGAGAGAGAGAGAGACAACAATGGTGATTCTCACACTAAAAAGAATCTCATAAGGCAACATTCTTTCTTCACGTACGTGCTCCTTTTTACTCTTATCAGCCAAACTATATGCTGTGTGCAATTATTGATCTAAGAGCTATGGCCCTACTTCGATATGTAGCCTAGCTAGCAGGCGTCTCCAATGGAGCACGCACAAAGTTTACTATGGCAAAAGTTTGATTGATGCCATTCCATATTGCAAAACTACCATCTATATATATACATTCCTTTTTCTTCCACTTGGTCGTGTAGGTTGTGACGTTTTATTTGAGATCTCTAGTTGATGATTTATGGTAAAGATAAGTGTTAGGGGAATTGTTTAGAAGGCTAGTTTAAAATTATTTTCATATTCTCAAAACTTTCATGACCAAAAGTTAGGAGATTAACTTATGAAAGAACATTGTTTAGTAGGTTTAGCACTAGCTAGGGGTTCGATCACGAAAATTTCACTTACGATGCAAATATTTAAGATAACCAGACTACTTCGTATGCATTACGTTCGTAAAGTTTTGACAATAAGCTAGTAACTCTTACAAATATTTTATAAAACGTACATATATATAAAACATCCTTGAACAATCAATCGATAGGATCATACATTATTTGCTAAAATCTACAAACTCACTATTAACAACCGATAGGATCATACTTATATCAAATTTAATTGCTAAAATAACATTGGAATAAGGAGATATTAACACTTGGCTAGAAGTTGATCCGAGAAAGTAAATAAATTTTCATGTATGAGCAATTGGGTATGAGGAGAAAAGATATTTCCGTGGCTAGGTTAAGGACAAATCCTTAATCCGGGGATAAGATCACTGCATCGATTTATGATTGGTTTGTTAAGGATTGGGTCGTTTTATGATTGAGAGTTACAAAGAGCAATGTACTATAGCTATGATGGAAAAAGGGCCACCATAATAGCTTCAAGATCAAAACAAAAACATCTCTTCCTGTCCTGACTCCTCATAACCTCTTTTGTTTTTTTTTATCTCATCCCAATAAGCCATATATGCTGAGTCAAAAGGAGTCCCCTTTGAACTTTGAAGTGTATGATAACAAAAAAGATGGTTTTGTACCATGTTGCTATGGCCATTTTCAAGTTTTCTCTTTCTGCCAACTGTTTCCCTCTCCCGCCCTCTTCTTTTCTCTGTTGTCTCTTGTTAGGGGCTACCACACTTTGTTTTTCTATCCCATTTTCAGATAATTAGATTCCATGGATCGGACGGGCAAGACGCACTTAAAGCAGTTAAAATCGAGATTTTACGCATATGAGTAAACTTGGAATCATAAAATCATAAAATTTTAATATTTTCGTAGAAACAAACAATGAATAATATTAATAAGGTAAATTATGCATATCATAAAGACACATAACAATTAAAATAATATTTTCGCAAGGTTATTGTTCCAATTCAACACAAATGCAACCTAACTAACTTGCACATAAACTTATAGAGTAGTTACTCACAACAACAGTCTCGCTGTAGGAAGATTATTACTTACAAGTACTTGGATAATATGAAATTATTATGGGTTATCAGTTTTTGTGTGGGAGGTGTGGTTCTCATGACCGCGAATCATGACCTCCTGATGGCCACTGGGATGCAGTTCCCTGTCATTGATGACACTCTGGTGGTGGAGTTGCTGGTATTGCGTGAAGC